CTTTTGATTCGGTCGATCAGGAGGTATTATGGTAGTGTCTGCCACTGAAAGGTGTACCAAAGAATTACATTAATCTTATACAAGCTCTCTACTCGAACACCTCTGGTCAAGTGAGAGCTTATGGCTAACTGTCATCGGAGTTAGTTACCTAAAGTGGTGTCCTTCAGAGCTGTCCACTCTCTCCATCCTTGTTTTACTTTTACATAGACATGCTTTTAGAGTTAATTTTATCTTAGTCTGACTTTTCAGGAGTGGACCTTCTACCAGGAGATACGCTTGCTGACTTAGACTATGCTGATGACATAGTTCTATTCGGTGAAGACGCTGACAAAATTTAGTTTTCTGACTACCCTTAGTAATAATGCAAGCATGTTCGGGATGCGGTTTCCCCCCTCGAAATGCAAAATGTTGCTTCAAGATTGGGTTGCATCGGCACCTGAACTAGTGATAGGGAGTGAATTCCTCATCATCTCTATCTTTCTCTTTCTAAAGTTATCTCACTGAACTATACTTCTTGAATAATATCTTCGATCCCTAATATTCTCCATTACCAGTAATTTTTTCTACTATCTCCACCACTATGGGATTTGAACTGACAGTTGCGTCTCTGTGCTAATGCGGTATGGCAACCTGAACTGATGTACGTACGTACGAAGTTGTATGTTGTAACTGACTGACAAATTAGTCTTCACAATACTTCGTTTCTTACTTATTATGCAATGCTTATTTATTTTTTATCTAGACTGGATTACTAAAGATTGTCAAGAATATTGTGGAACATGAAGGTGTACCGGGTCTATTTCGAGGATTAGGTCCAAATATTCTCAAAGTCTTACCGGCTGTTAGTGTTTCGTATGCTTGTTACGATCAAATTAAAGCGTTTCTACATGTTTCAAAATAGATCTCTGCTCTATTTTATTTTTTAATGTATGTTAGATCATGAATATTTTTTTTTCAAATAATGACGCTTATATTCTTTCGATAAGTCACATTTGGATTTTCAAAAATTTAATTTGTCATATTAATTATTTGATTGTTGCTTGCGAATACTCTTATTTCTTTCTTTAAATAATCCATCATCTTTTATGAAGAGATAATCAATGCCAACTAGATTTGATAGAGCATGTTTTATACTTAAAAGATATATATAGCTTATTTTCTTTTTATATGATATTGAACTTTGAAATAACCTTTGTATTCTACTTTATTGCATATTTTATTCATAATTCTCATTTTTTTTAAATACATATTTTTCATTTTATCAATAACAAGAAATAGATATATATATCTCATATTCATAATTATGAAAATTTTCTGGTATTAATTATATTTTCAGTATTTTCTTTTATTATATGAGTGTATCATTTCTTTTTTTTTGTTTTACGCCAACATTCATTCATTCATTATTTCTATGATTGATTTACAACATATCGCTTATCTCTTTCATTTATCATTTCGTTTGAAATGTATCTTTTTTTCTCGTTGTTGTTACTTCAATACACTTTTTATAATCTTTCGCAATTTTATATCATTCTATATTATTAATAACATTAGTGAACTGACTTTTTTTTTAATTTTTGGAAAGGAAATAAAACTGTTTAAATCAATGTAAATTCTTGCTTTGATTTAATTATCTGAACAGTTTACCTAATAAGTCATCATCCGGCGGTGTTTCTAAACAATTGGATCGGCAGTTCAGTGTACTTGATTGGTTGATATCACTAGCTGCCATCATATAATCTATAGTTTTAAGATAAGTACATAAGTATATATTTAGTGAATTACTTACTGTATCACGTGCGAATTTCTTTCGCATCGATAAAATGAAGGAGTAATACTAATAATCCTGATTAATAAACAATGTATCTACTGCATAAGTGGGAAAAAACGAATGAAGAAGTGCTACTCATTTGTATATGTATATATGTCAGTAGTATAATTATAGGTACGAAATTATAGTTAGGATGGAATATTCAATTTTCTCTAATAACTAATATCATTACATCGTGAACTTGATTTCTGCTTGTTTTAATTGATCATTTATAAAATATCCATTGTTTACTCGAACAAACTAATTCCTATTTAATAGTTTGAACAAATCAAGAACGAAATACACAAGCATTAAATTAAATTAAAAGAGAAATAAATAGCAAAGTGACTAAGCAGGTGGGCGTGAATCAGATATAAAGATGCTTAAGTCAACCTACGTAGGTAATCTTTGAAGATCATTTCCTTGGTGGTCTGTCTAATGCATAATTTTAAGCACCTTTCCCAGAGATCTTCGCACTAAATCTTTCATCTTGACACCTGTTTTTATTTCATTATTCGTACTAGCTAACTCCACCTGTAGCTCTTCTAGGGCTTCGCTGGTCCCAATTCCACATAAAGGAGGAACGTTTGAGCACATGGTTGGCAACGCCATTCCGTAGAAAATAAAACTAGCTTAAAAATGCGTTGATCGCAACAAATATTTTAAAAGCTGTTTTGGGAGTTTAGAAGAGTATCTAAAGGAGTTATGACGCCTCATGTGGAAGCCGAGATTCTTCGGAAGTCATGAGTTCGATATCCTCCCTACAACCAGAACAACCAACAATAGAGGTATATGTAATTTCCGCAAAACGTAGGACACTTAAAAAACTATTCAAGTTGTGGAAATGAGAAAGTACAACCTGATGATAACTGAAATAGAAGAAACCTATTACACATAGGCTGGGCAGGAAAGACTAGCTTCAGAAGAGATTCTGTTGTACCCTGAATTTGAAGAGGAAAATTACTCAAACGCGAAAGCCGTTGCACTGATGCTGTTCAACGAAGCATAAAAAGTACTTATACAATAGCAATCTTATTTATTCCAGATCATCAAAGCATCCTTCAAGACAAAGCAATAGCGGATCACAATAAATTTCACCCAGTGTTACGCGCCCATCAACGAAGACGATAAAGATCATTTCTATGTGAGGCTGCGGACAATCATCCAGAAATTCACTGCAAAACGCCAAGGTTCGAACGGACGACACCGCGTATGAAGACATCATGGGACGACATGAACTGGAAGAAAGGAATGAACACGGAGAGATCTTCACAAAACTATATGCCTTGAAGTAAATGGTTCTAGTTGGTACGGGAGTCCATTAAATATTTCCCAACTACAAAACGACACAAATTTATAAGAATTCGAACTCCTTATATACGGTAAACAGAAAAATAGTCATAATATTTATAAACTTGCAAGAAACATTAGTAGTTGAATCAGCATATTTCAATTGCTTTCACAAACTGATATATTTTATTAAATATCGCCACAATCATTCCGTGGGAACATTACTAGCATTTATGCAACCAATTTTACTCTAGATATATGATTACTTAAGATAAACATCAAATAATGTGATCTGTGGATAATATTGAAATTTCTGCATCGCTAATTGATTTCCGATAGACAGTCAGTCAAAACAAGGAGCATTCGCGAGCCATTTTGACAACATATGGGACTCCTCAATAGTCCACATCCAAGATTACTAGGAAGTGAATTTAGGACTTTCAAACTTTCGGTTGAACGTCAAACTTTCAGACAAAGTGAGCTGGTATCCTATGGTCTACATATATAATTAGGATAAAAAAGACCAGCTATAAAGTAATATAATATCTTGTTATAAAAATTTGTTAGTCGATCATTGAATAACATTGGCAAAACTAATAATAATTTCATCTGGTTTGTTACAAATAAAGTTTAAAATTTGAAAATATATTTCTTTAACTACAGTTATTTTTTCTATTGACTGATAGATAAAAATTTCGACAATGTATCAACACTTTCAATTAATGTACAATCTGATTTTACAAATCTAATTAAAAAATGCATAATTCTAAATGCCATTATGCCATTTGCATTAAATCATCAAATCTTGTATGATGATAACATTGAAATTGTTCATTGAATTATTTGTATTTGTTATTAATGTTAAAAGGTTTCGATTGTTTTTGACATAACCAATTTAAAACACGTTCTATTAGTAAATGTTTCCATTTGTTCAGATAACGGATGAAGATGAGTGATTAATTTTGTCGAATAAGCTCATTAAAACATACAACTGGCTAAAATATCAATTTCAAAATAAATATAGTTTGTCTTGAAATAAACAATAATTTTAATATTGTAATTCATTATTACCATTATATTTGATATTTAACAAATAAACAAAACACTTTAACATGATCAAACAAATAACAATAAAAACAACTCATTGGTTGTGATATTTGATTTACAAACTATTAATCGTTTAAGTATAATAATTTGTAGGCCATCAATTTTATGTGTATACACACTCAACATACTTTTATTAACCAACGAATTACCTTACCTCATTTTGAATAGTATTCAAGTTGATCTGTAAAAAATATTAACATATTCTTAGAGTACAAACTTAAAAAGAAACAATATTATAATCATATAGAGTACTCTGGAATTTGGCTAGCAATCGAAAACAGGTACGTAGAAGTGAATGGTCATCAGTCGCTAAGTGGATAATGCGATGGTGTTTGATGCAAACGTTACTAGGGTTTTAGCCTCGAAGGTGAACCTCAACTCTGAGATCCAGGTACATTTCAGTCTCAAAATAGAACTGGATATCAATGCGTAGCCATCTTGGCCTTATAAGACAATTTTTATTGAATGGATATTATTCAATGTTTTCCAAATGAAGAATACAGTCGAAATCATGAATGTTATATGCCTGAATAAATAAATTTTGAATAAACCTCTAAGATAATTTTATTGGCTTAAATTGTTCAATCTAAAAATGATTGATAGAAAGTTAATAAATTATTCAGTCACTCAGTCGATGGGTAACATGGAAATGAGACCAAATAAGACTAAAGAAGAAACCCCATTTCTAATTGTACTCATGTCTAAAACAAAGCAACTTATCTTATATAAATAATTTATAAATTGACTACCTTAACATAAAAACATCACATTCTGATAGGATAGCTCATGGTTAATAGCAAACAGTGTATAATGTAGTTAATACTAATATGTTCATACTACTGAAAAATCACAAGATTACATTTACCAATAAGCTGTTTATTTGATTTCACTTGATATATATATATATATATATATATATATATATATATATATATATATACCACTTAATGTCAAGTTGATTAACATGTTGAAAAATTACCAACTTCAAATTCACATAAAGGACCTTTTAAACTGTTAAAAGAAACATTAATCAAACTTCGGTGTAATTTAAATTTTTTTTTGCACAATTGAATAACTCACTATGGATAAAATCATATATAATTTGTTGATGGCAAAACGAAGATTTAACTATAGTATTCAGAGAATATAACAATGGATTACTCAAAACTGAAGTATAAATCTTGACAATTTTTTCTCACAGAATTATATCATAATTTTTAGATTTTTTAGAACACATAGATTTCTCATATGACAAAGTTATGAATAATAAATGTATATACTTTTTTTGTAAATTTTTTTACCAATATTTTAAAACTATTGTATTTGGTCAAATAAGAATCTGTAACTGTTGAAACACAAATTCCTATACAAATTATCCATAGAAATCACATTACAGTGTAACTTACTTTTTCGAAAATTTCTAAAGAAGTTAAAATATCTTCTTGAAATAAAGGATTTTGTTGTAAACTGTGCAAATCTTGCATTCGAAGCACTGGTGACTGTAAACGAAAAATGTGTAGATATAAGAGTTTTTACAGTTGCTGACAAAACTTATCTATGCAGAACATTACTAACAATATAAATTCAAGGTTCTTTATTGAACAAAACAAAAATCATTTTAAAGGCAACAACAAATAAATTTTTTGAGTTAATCTAGTGGAAAAATCATTATGCATTATAGATAACTGAAAATGTTTCAATAACAAATCTAAGTTGTATTATTGTGTTAACAATGATGTTGTAAACGCTGATAGAAATGGAAATGTTTGAATAATCTCAGTGAGCATAAATTAACTGTGGTGCTGCGTCTTAGTTGGTAAAGTATTTGGATTTTAAAGTATCAGGCTAATAATTATAAAATAGTTTTATCGAAATCGGTTGTGACACCTGAGAACTGCCATGCAGTCATTTTAAAAATAGTGTAGTTTAAAATTCAATACTTATATGGGTACTTGGTAGGATAGATTAGAATAGTTAGTACACACCAACCGCTCTATTGACTAGAATAGGAGAATTCTGGATTAAAAGTGATTATGAAGCTAATCTATATCTCACTTATAAAAAAACTCCCAGATAAAAGCATGTGTCGGATGTGTTTGTAACAAATTTAGTGATTTTTTTTTCAGTTAAATCAGTATAAAATTTAACATCTCATTACTATCAACTACTACTTACAAAGTTTTGTATTTCGCTAGTGGATTGAGAAACAAATTTTAATTCGGTTGTTAAGTGGTGAGTAATTTGTGGTTGTGGAGCCCTCATTGTTCTTCTAAACAACTTTAGCACAAACTTCAGATAGAAGCGAAAAATTCGAATTTCTGAACGTTTGACAAATAGCTTGTTCTGTTAACCTCGACCTTGATTGATTGTTATTGACCCCAAACCTATCGGTGTTTGCACCTTTATTTTGATTGTATCCCCCTTTGGTCTGTTTCTTGATCCTATGTTTGCCTATGATTTTTCTGACTGGTTCATAAATCGGGTCAATGTCGATGCGTTTGTTGATTGCTGATTGACCTGAGATTGACACTCAGGTCAGTAACAACTACTCACGATAGAGGGTAACAGAACAAGATATGGGTCAAACGTGCAGAAATTCAAATTTTTCACTTCTCTCTGAGGTTTGTGCTGATGATCCTGAGTTACAAATTTTCTCCACCATCTCAAGATTAGTAATTGATATTAGATTCTTACTAACTAATCTGTTCGGTTGGTCACATTTGACATATGGTACTGTGATGGTTGATTGTTGGTAAATAACTACAGTCCTTTCCCCCAAAACACAACAAAAAGTACTTTGGAAAGATTTTACTTGATTTATAGAATCCACTTATCACTAAGAACTGAACACTACATCAGTTACTACTAAATGATCTATCAGTACAAATATTTTAATGCTCAGAGATATCGGTTGTGGCCTAAAGCAACCAGCGGTGACGTTTTTGATTGTAACACTGAGTGAAATGGGTTAAAATCCCACGAAGAATTTCGACCCTAGTGCGAAACAGCATGAATCTTCCGTCTATGGTGTTGTTTCTGATCTCCTTATAGTTAGCTAATATAAAACATAGTACATTTAAATATTGAGTCATTCAGACTATAGCCATTATGAACCTTGTTTCAATAAATGTGATCAGCACTAGTAATTAGCTCAACGATGAGGAGACCAAGCTGATCCATCAGTCTATCTAAATCATGTATTACCGAGAAGAGAGAAGCAGTGTCTCGAGAAATTTCCTTCGGGATTGTCTAGACTTGATCCATTAGGTCTGACTGAGGCGGGTCAGAGGGATGGTTACAAATTGTGCCGTAAATAGTGCACATGAGTCAACGCGCCTCTTCCTGTAGTATGAACATGAAGGAGTATATAGTTAACTGAAGACTTATTTGCTAAGTTGATTTGACTATCTGATAGTTATTCAGTACAACTGATACTACTAGGGTAGGGCCTGAGTTAAATGGATGCATACCTATGTGCTTATAGGAATGTATAGACTCCGGTTAATACAATCTATAAATGTATCTAACATATACTTGATTCTTCTGTGTCTATATGCATTTAAAGAATGGTTAGACCTAGTTCAAACATTTTATATTTGTATATAACGTATGATAGCGACCGCGCCCAACTCCGCCTATGTGCATTTTACTAGCATATATATATCTTTAACACATGTACCTAAAGTATACTTGAGAGAAGCTACCACGTCTAAAACTGAGAGTACTCATTAATGCTAATCATCGCTTTTGGTTGATTTAGAAATCTTCCGAATATAGTAAGCAGCACAACTATACTGGAATATGGTGCCACCTATTCCGTCTGCACCACCTGAGGTACGTATATAAGTGGGCTGTAGTGAAAACACCTGCATACATTTATGAAATAGACCCAGAAGATTTCTGTCTTCATTAGTAAAGTAGAATAGATGCCCCCATTCCTATCTCGAGCTTTACTTTTCGTTTTACGACAGCTTTTCTTTTTCATCTCGAAAATCCAATCGGCTTCCCTATTTGTAAAGTGAGGTTAACTAACCCTTTTAGTAGTCAGTTTATATTTCTTTGTTAATAGATAAAATTTTTACTGTAGTTCATAAACATCATGATTAGCTATCAAAGCAATTAACGAATCATTTAACCTTGATCATCAATTGCAAACAATAAAAATGTACTAGAACTGATGTTATAAATCAGGTCTCTATAATGAGTAATGTGACAGAAATATGTCAGGAAATGAGATCGTTTCCATCCAAGTCATTTAATGAAATCGGTATCAGTTCTCAAAAAATACATAAGTTTACCACTTAAAACATTTCTGATAAACCAAGTTAAAGAATGCTACCTAATAATTAAAATTAATTTTTAAAGTCTACTTAAGGATTATCTCAAAACATCAGTCAATTAATAGTTACAGTGTAATTTGATGCAAGAACAATAATATAACTTGATGAGTTCCAAATATCATACAAAATAGATTTTTAAAACTGAAATTTAAATGTCACACAAACAACATTGACCTTACGAGATTATGTCATGAGCTTGGTGTGAATCTACTTAAAAATAATTCCAATCAGTTGAAAACTATTCAAATTCATTGCATTCTATTCAAGAACGATTGTTTACCTAAAATAGACTCGCTACTTAAATTGTGTAAATAAGTCTTATTCAACTAGGATGAAAATTGGTTATGCTTTTAAGACGATTCAGATATTGCTTGAAAAGATTTATTGCGTAATAATTTCATGTTACATAATGATAGTCGATGTTCTAATCAGGTTTGTAATGAAAACTGAAGTTGGCTCATCATCACCATCATTAACAAAACTATAATACAATGCTATCTATTAAAAATATGGGTATACAAATCACTAATAGATTGTTTTCGAAAAAAAACTATTAGGTCATACCTTTAGATGCATCAACCAATCATCTATCAGTTTTACCAGAACCAATGGATTGAATGAAGTTTTATTAAAATCATCCCAGACTACGGGATCAGTGTTGAATTTTTTCTGTCATGTATGGGAAAATGATATGCCGTTAGTGAAAAAAGGCACAAATTAAAAATATGCACTTATAAATAAAAATAGAGCGCTTTCTGCTGTCAAAAGAACTTTGGATTGCTTTTAATAAATATAAATTTCGTCAAAATCTGAACTGAAGGTCACATGATATACGGTCAGATAAGTTTAACAGTTTGATTAAGAAGGTCTGGATGAACACTTATTGTGATCCCTCTATTTACTTTGGTCTTGAAGGATGCTTTGATGATCTGGAGTAAATAAGATTGCTACTGTAATAAGTGCTTTTAGTACTTATTTTGAACAGCATCAATGCAACTGATTTTGTGTGTGAGTCATTTTTCTTCTCCAATTCAGGGTATAAACAAAATCTCTCCTGAATCTTGTCGTTTTTTTTTCCAGCCTGCAACAGACATTTACACCAACATATTTTCATGCAAATAAAATTGATAGTGCCTTCCAAATGTTAATAAGTGTCATAGCACTACAATAATGCTACAAAATATAAGCAGTTAAGTCAAGAAAGAATTTATTTTTACATCATGAATAAAATTCGCAATATACTTATCCAATTGTTCAGGTCATCATTTACAAACAAATTGCAGGAGCATATGCGTTAGTTAACGCAGAGCTTCCACTATACGGCGCTTTGATATCACCATATTGACTGATTATTTCTACATTTCTGTTGACCAAGTGGGATTTTTCCTATAGAAAATTAAAAAATTCAGCGAAGAACCTTTAAAAGTAAATAACTAAATCATAAATATTCTTGATATAACATTGTCCTAGTCAAGAATAAATAAACTGTGGTTTTATATCAACAACTGAGTAAGGATATTAAAGAAAATTATAAAAAAAATATTTCTAGCTAATTCCTAGTTGAATTATTTAATAATGTTGTTTGTGTAGGGAAATTATGAGCCTTGTATTTATAATGTTAGATTTTGTTTTTCCAGTGGTTTCGTGGATGATAACAATCAATATCATTTTGAACTGAACATCTTTCAACTACATGTTCTAACCTACAATAAAATGTATTTGATAATATGACAAATTTATTCCTAAATATATATTATACTTTCAGTTTAGTTCAGTTGAACACGGATTACAAGATAATAATTTAGGTATTCAGTATATCTTATTTATCTTATCTCTGTAAACACCCACACAGGGAGAATATTGATTATTTTGGAAATAAAACATCACAATGTTGAACATTGGTGATTCCAGTGTTACAAAATCCTACATCCAACACAACGGAAGTAAGGTTGAAGTATATCAGTAGTAGCAGTTTCAGTTAAAACGCTTTGAGGACACATAGTTTATTCATCAGGTATTAATTTTATCAAGTAGATAACAATTAATATTATAAAAGGTAATTTATCTTCAGGTGATAAAAATAACTTACATACAATGACACTAATCGAAGATGGTGGCATATAATTGTTTTTTTCACTTTTAATTATAAACGCAACGTTAATTTAGTTAAAATATGTAATATACACATATTATTAAATTAAAGCATGCTTGCGTAAGCTTGAAAATTGAAAATTATATTTGATTTTAAGCTATCATCTGCAGTTTATACAATTTTTTGTTAAATCAGATCATAAAAAACTGACATCTACTGAACTGTTATTATTGTAATATAAAGAACAATAGGGTAGTGTTTGTGTATCAACTTGTAACTTCTTAGTAGTGTATACGTATGACCTTACAAGGCATGGAACTCGATGCATTCAGTCTTTGATTGGGTAGGCAAATGCTGCGGATTTCCAGAAAAAACCAACCAATGCTTTAACAGCATTCCGAAACAATAAGTAAAGAAGCAAAATGGTCAGACAATCACAAGTGTGATCCTAAATTGACAGTCACTGATAGTACATTATTCAAAATAAATTTTGAAGATTACCACCATAGTATCTGTTATAGCGATTTCCATAGTTGAATTGTTTTCGGTGATGAGACAAAACAATGTTTCTACTAAGCTTTAAGTTATTATTTCTAATTCTTTAGTTTTAGTCAATACAGAAAGTCTAACTAACACATGCGTTCTATTCTATTTTACCATATTATAAAATTTAAATGAACAATTACACAAACGAGAGGATTTAATTAATTTTACACGAAAAGTTTGAGCCTCAGGTTGGTCAGTCTCTTTTATTCAGTATATATACATCCTCAATAGATTATCTAAATGATGTCATTATGTTATAAAATTCTTTTATGCAATTTTTTTAATTGTCTGAAAAGTAAAATCAGATATCCCATGTAGGTTCTATTAGGGGACGCTCAGTAGCAAAGCTAGATATACCTGGATCTAGAGTTCGGACTGCCTTGTAAGTACAGGATAGGAAACCGATACCTTTTGTGCTTCAGAATCTCTATAGATTATCCACTTCGCTACCGAAGTCGACGTAAGCCACTGGGTTTTATGAAGGGATCATGTCACAGATAACATTCATAAATACGCTTGTTTAGAGAGAATTTTCTTTTTAAAGATAAATTACACAATAAACTGACTTTTCATCGTATTTTAATAATAAAAAAAACATACCATATGTACATTCTACAGCTTCATTCGACAATTCAGTATTTTCATCAGGTTGACTATCAGTACAAACTTCTGATTGGGTAACACTATGTTATGGAAAGTCTATAAAAAAACAACAAAAATTATCAGTACGTAGCATATGATCAGTAGAGCATTCAAATATTAAATCTATACCTATACAACACTATTCATCAGACTCCATCACACTCAGATGAGAAACACGAAATTAGCGTGACCATAGTGTGTACATATTGGTCAACACTCAACACGACATATTTAAATTGATACTAAAGGTTGGGAATGTAGTATCGCCACAACTATCTAGTCAGACTACCTACCCAGTCTGTACAGTAAATAAAAGTGGTCAGAAAAACACCTATCGAATTCAATGAATTCATAGTTATTCTGTTTCATTATGTTGTTCTGGTATATTTAAACCCATAAAAGGAATCAATTCTATGAAGTTACATAGAATAAATATAATGTGGCTAGTAGTGGAATCCAGAATGCGAGTTTGGGACTATTTGGGATCTTACCAAGCTGGATGCACCTGCATATCAGAGATAGTGTTTACTTCGGGACTTGAACACTAGTATGTTTAATTCCAAACGTCACGAGTTACCATACGGATTCAGTAACTAAGTGTGGGGGATGGACGTTTGAAGCAAATGATACTGGGTTCAGGTGTCCCGAGAGTGAACATCAACTCTGATATGCAAGTATATCCAGTTGATAAGTTCAAAGTAGAGCAAAACGCACGTACTTGATTACACTGCTTATCTTATTTTATCTAATTTATTAGTTAATTCCTATTCATATGCATAATTATTGAATTTTTTATAACATTCTTTAGTTTAATGGATAATGTTAAGAACAACCTCTAAAATGTTTCCTTGTTCAGTAATAATAATCGTTGAAGTGTAGCCGCAATTGGTACTAAAAGTCAAACACAGGGAAATCTAACCCATTGATTTTACAAATATCTACAGTATTATATAAGTATATTGATCATCAGTATATTCAAGTTGGACTTAATAGTGAATAAGTATACAATAAATTGGTTAAACTAACCGGATAACTTACAACTTATACCTTATAGAATATAATCAAGAAATGAATATATGAATTATTGTCCTGTAATCTATATATCCTACTGTAACTGCTATTTGACATTACATATTTTACTCAATACTAAAAGTTGGTTAGCATAAAACATTATTCAGATAAAATGTACACAAAGAAAGACAATGAAAACACCGATTTCATATGTAATTTCTAATGAACTAGTACAAGTTTCAACATAAAATAATCAGAGAAAAGATCGGTTAACAGATAAATTATTCGCTACAATTTATTCAAACATTAATAATAAACTGAAGAACAATCACTTACAAACTAAAATCATTGTTAATACTATATGTTAAGGAACAGAGAATTACGAAGATGTACTAACATCTAACCGTTTAGATAAATAGTTGAAAAATTCAAAATGTACATCATATTGTACACGGTTTAACACTAAAAGTAGTGAATCTGAGATAAATTATCAATAACTGTCATTAAACTGAATAATTTTCAATTGTTACAATTGTATTTCTTTCTTAGAATTTGTATACAAAAATTTACAATTGAGAACAAAATTTCATGTGTTTTAATTTGAAAACTAACTAATCTATGTTAGTTAATCATTAAAATATTTCTGATTTATTATGTTAATGTACTTCAAAATCATTTGAATTCATAAAAAAAAGAGTATGATTCAATTAATTCCTAAATAAAATTCTGTACTTACGAAATTAATTGGTAAGTACTTTTAAATTAACCCGTTAGGTTTACTAGCTTCCGATATTGTGTACACTCATGATAATAATAATCATAAGACATTTGAAAACACCAGCACCTTCTATAAAATATCATAATCAACTTAAGTGAATGATTCGTTTTAGAACATGATCAAATAACACATCATATATAGAAGTTTTGACAGTGTCTCTAACATATCATTGTGAGACATTATTTGTATAGACAAATCCCAATTAGTCGGTTAAAACAAATACTGACAGTTTAATATAATGAATGAATTGAACCTTGATAATGAAATATAATAATAGAATTGATATTCAGCACAGTTAATTAAATCACTGCTAAAAACTTAAAACCGGTATTCTATGTAGTGACTTCGATTCAGAAAAGTGCAAGAACAAAGAATCGAGCGGAACAACATGCTTTTTCAATTAGAGTTATGGAGATTATTCTTTTTACACATTTGAAATCATCAATCAATCATTGTTAGACCACCATTAGAAACCTGGAAGCAATCGACGGCCGTTTCGTTCTGGTATGGGACTCATCGGCAGTGCACATCCTGCACATCCTGCGAGGTGCAGGATTCGTGGACGGAACGGCCGTCCAGTGCTTTCAGGTTTCTAATGGTGGTCTAACAATGATTGACTGATGATTTCAAATGTGTAAGAATCGCATGAATCCATTTTATTTCGTAAGGTTCATTTTATTCTATTCAAATGTTGGATCATGTCCTATTCAAAATAATAAAGGCAACTGCATATATGAAATTTTGATTTAACTAAAATGTTACAGTATTGAGAAACTTTTTTATTTCAACTTAAATAAAAGATTATTTCAATGATCTATTCTGTATAAGCAGGCACAAATAGAAATCATAAAGAATAATATTTACGCAACTACTCAACTAAATACATACATATATATCATATTTAAAATTATAAAAGAAAGAATAAATTACCCTCAGTGTGTTTATTATCTAAATTAATCCAATGCAATAAAATAGCTAATACATTTAGTGTGAGTTGCATAAATTTAGTCAACAAAACAAAAAGTCTCTAAAAATACGTAGAAATAAGTTTCAATAATGTTATGAAGATATAATATTCTTCTCAACAATGTAATTTCAATTTCGGACAACATTTTACCATACTGAAACAATCCACTCATTGAAATAATTAGACAGAATAAAAAAAATACGAATCAACCAATATAAAATAAAATGACACTAACATTCATTGAGAGTGTGATTTATGAGTAGTCAAAGAATTCATCAATGGATAAACTTTCAGCTTCTTAGTTGATGAAAGATAATGATAATTGCATGCGACAATTGTAGTCAAAAAGAAAATTATTGTTTTGAGTTGTTTTAGCTAATTTGAACAGTCTTCTCAAATAAGAAATAATTAATTGTTTACAGTCATAAACATTTAGTTTCATAGCATCACTAGCAAACTATACTCTATATGAGCTAAATAACAATGAATGTTCTTTGATTGAACCCCTAGTTATATAAGTTTGCATTGAACAAATAATATTTCATGCTTGCATTTAAAATTTTTACGAATTAGAGTTTGTTTAAAGGATAAGTTCTTTTAATATGAAATATTAGTGTGGTGGATACTTCTCATAAATTAGCTTATAAGTCGCCTGCAAAGGAGTTTAGCCCAGAAATTATCATTGAAGAGAAGACTGTCGAATTCAAATGTACAGCGCGGTCAAAGTTTTTGTAAGGACTAGAAGATAAGTTGAAGAAGATAACCAATAATTTGCTTGTTCTGCAAAATGGAAGTCTGAAGATAAGGTGTACCAGTAAACGGTATCTTCTCTAAATATTCCACTTATTCCATATAATCGTAAAGACTTCCTTCATTACAAGAGAAACTCAGAAGTTTTCAGAGCACTAGAATAAGTAATATATAGGATTATGTGTGCAAAATCAGATGAGACTGTGAAATCTTAATATAAACTGAATATTCATATAAACAACTCCGCCAGTAGAACCTTCGGGGCTACTTCCGGTCCCAAGCCCGGGTAAAGGAGGAGGGTTGGACATGGGGTTGGCGATTTTTAGAGACTTTTTGTTTTGTTGACTAAATTTATGCAACTCACACTAAATGTATTAGCTATTTTATTGCATTGGATTAATTTAGATAATAAACACACTGAAGGGTAAATTTATTCTTCTTTTATAATTTAAAATATAGATATATATGTATGTATTTAGTTGAGTAGTTGCGTAAATATTATTCTTTATGATTTCTATTTGTGCCTGCTTATACAGAATAGATCATTGAAATAATCTTTTATTTAAGTTGAAATAAAAAAGTTTCTCAATACTGTAACATTTTAGTTAAATCAAAATTTCATATATGCAGTTGCCTTTATTATTTTGAATAGGACATGATCCAACATTTGAATAGAATAAAATGAACCTTACGAAATAAAATGGATTCATGCGATTCTTACACATTTGAAATCATCAGTCAATCATTGTTAGACCACCATTAGAAACCTGAAAGCACTGGACGGCCGTTCCGTCCACGAATCCTGCGAGGTGCAGGATTCGTGGATGTGCACTGCCGATGAGTCCCATACCAGAACGAAACGGCCGTCGATTGCTTCCAGGTTTCTAATGGTGGTCTAACAATGATTGATTGATGATTTCAAATGTGTAAAAAGAATAATCTCCATAACTCTAATTGAAAAAGCATGTTGTTCCGCTCGATTCTTTGTTCTTGCACTTTTCTGAATCGAAGTCACTACATAGAATACCGGTTTTAAGTTTTTAGCAGTGATTTAATTAACTGTGCTGAATATCAATTCTATTATTATATTTCATTATCAAGGTTCAATTCATTCATTATATTAAACTGTCAGTATTTGTTTTAACCGACTAATTGGGATTTGTCTATACAAATAATGTCTCACAATGATATGTTAGAGACACTGTCAAAACTTCTATATATGATGTGTTATTTGATCATGTTCTAAAACGAATCATTCACTTAAGTTGATTATGATATTTTATAGAAGGTGCTGGTGTTTTCAAATGTCTTATGATTATTATTATCATGAGTGTACACAATATCGGAAGCTAGTAAACCTAACGGGTTAATTTAAAAGTACTTACCAATTAATTTCGTAAGTACAGAATTTTATTTAGGAATTAATTGAATCATACTCTTTTTTTTATGAATTCAAATGATTTTGAAGTACATTAACATAATAAATCAGAAATATTTTAATGATTAACTAACATAGATTAGTTAGTTTTCAAATTAAAACACATGAAATTTTGTTCTCAATTGTAAATTTTTGTATACAAATTCTAAGAAAGAAATACAATTGTAACAATTGAAAATTATTCAGTTTAATGACAGTTATTGATAATTTATCTCAGATTCACTACTTTTAGTGTTAAACCGTGTACAATATGATGTACATTTTGAATTTTTCAACTATTTATCTAAACGGTTAGATGTTAGTACATCTTCGTAATTCTCTGTTCCTTAACATATAGTATTAACAATGATTTTAGTTTGTAAGTGATTGTTCTTCAGTTTATTATTAATGTTTGAATAAATTGTAGCGAATAATTTATCTGTTAACCGATCTTTTCTCTGATTATTTTATGTTGAAACTTGTACTAGTTCATTAGAAATTACATATGAAATCGGTGTTTTCATTGTCTTTCTTTGTGTACATTTTATCTGAATAATGTTTTATGCTAACCAACTTTTAGTATTGAGTAAAATATGTAATGTCAAATAGCAGTTACAGTAGGATATATAGATTACAGGACAATAATTCATATATTCATTTCTTGATTATATTCTATAAGGTATAAGTTGTAAGTTATCCGGTTAGTTTAACCAATTTATTGTATACTTATTCACTATTAAGTCCAACTTGAATATACTGATGATCAATATACTTATATAATACTGTAGATATTTGTAAAATCAATGGGTTAGATTTCCCTGTGTTTGACTTTTAGTACCAATTGCGGCTACACTTCAACGATTATTATTACTGAACAAGGAAACATTTTAGAGGTTGTTCTTAACATTATCCATTAAACTAAAGAATGTTATAAAAAATTCAATAATTATGCATATGAATAGGAATTAACTAATAAATTAGATAAAATAAGATAAGCAGTGTAATCAAGTACGTGCGTTTTGCTCTACTTTGAACTTATCAACTGGATATACTTGCATCTCAGAGTTGATGTTCACTCCGGGACCTGAACCCAGTATCATTTGCTTCAAACGTCATCGCACTGTCCACTTAGTTACTGAATCCGTATGGTAACTCGTGACGTTTGAATTAAACAGTACTAGGTTCAAGTCCCGAAGTAAACACTATCTCTGATATGCAGGTGCATCCAGCTGGTAAGTCCCAAATAGTCCCAAACTCGCATTCTGGATTCCACTACTAGCCACATTATATTTATTCTATGTAACTTCATAGAATTGATTCCTTTTATGGGTTTAAATATAGCAAGAACAACAAATGAAACAGAATAATATGAATTCATTGAATTCGATAGGTGTTTTTCTGACCACTTTTATTTATGTACAGACTGGTAGGTAGTCTGACAGATAGTTGTGGCGATACATACATTCCCAACCTTTAGTATCAATTTAAATTGTCTGTTGAGTGTTGACCAATATGTACACACTATGGTCACGCTAATTTCGTGTTTCTCATCTGAGTTGTGATGGAGTCTGATAGAATAGTGTTGTATAGGTATAGATTTAATATTTGAATGCTCTACTGATCATATGCTACGTCTGATAATTTTGTTGTTTTTTTATAGACTTTCCATAACATATGTTACACAATCAGAAGTTTGTACTGATAGTCAACCTGATGAAAATACTGAATTGTCGAATGAAGCTGTAGAATGTACATATGGTATGTTTTTTTTATTATTAAAATACGATGAAAAGTCAGTTTATTGTGTAATTTATCTTTAAAAAGAAAATTCTCTCTAAACAAGCGTATTTATGAATGTTATCTGTTAACATGATCCCTTCATAAAACCAGTGGCTACTTAGACTCGGTAGCTAAGTGGATAATCTATAGAGATTCTGAAGCACAAAAGGTATCGGTTTCCATCCTCATTACAAGCAGCCGAACTTAGATCCAGGTATATCTAGTTGATGAGTCCCTAATAGAACATAACATGGATATTGAATTTTACTTTCAGACAATTAAAAAAATTGCATAAAAGATTTTATAACATAATGACATCATTTAGATAATCTATTGAGGATGTATATATACCGAAAAAAGAGACTGACCAACCTGAGTCAAACTTTTTCGTGTAAAATTAATTAAATCTCTCGTTTGTAATTGTTCATTTAAATTTCATAATATAGTAAATAGAATCGACTCATGTGTTTAGTTAGACTTTCTGTATTGACTAAAACTAAAGAATTAGAAATAATAATTAAAGCTTAGTAGAAACATTGTTTGTCTCATCACCCGAAAAAATTCAACTATGGAAATCGCATAACAGATACTATGGTGGTAATCTTCAAAATTTATTTTGAATAATGTATATCAGTGATTCAATTTAGGATCACACTTGTGATTGTCTGACATTTTGCTTCTTTACTTATTGTTTCGGAATGCTGTTAAGATTGGTTGGTTTTTCTGGAAATCGCAGCATTTGCTACCCAATCAAGACCTGAAGGCATCGAGTTCCATGCCTTGTAAGGTCATACGTATACACTACTAAGAAGTTACAAGTTGATACACAACACTACCCTATTGTTCTTTATATTACAATAATAACAGTTCAGTAGATGTCAGTTTTTATGATCTGATTTAACAAAAAATTGTATAAACTGCAGATGATAGCTTAAAATCAAATATAATTTTCAATTTTCAAGCTTACGCAAGCATGCTTTAATTTAATAATATGTGTATATTACATATTTTAACTAAATTAACGTTGCGTTTATAATTAAAAGTGAAAAAAACAATTATATGCCACCATCTTCGATTAGTGTCATTGTATGTAAGTTATTTTTATCACCTGAAGATAAATTACCTTTTATAATATTAATTGTTATCTACTTGATAAAATTAATACCTGATGAATAAACTATGTGTCCTCAAAGCGTTTTAACTGAAACTGCTACTACTGATATACTTCAACCTTACTTCCGTTGTGTTGGATGTAGGATTTTGTAACACTGGAATCACCAATGTTCAACATTGTGATGTTTTATTTCCAAAATAATCAATATTCTCCCTGTGTGGGTGTTTACAGAGATAAGATAAATAAGATATACTGAATACCTAAATTATTATCTTGTAATCCGTGTTCAACTGAACTAAACTGAAAGTATAATATATATTTAGGAATAAATTTGTCATATTATCAAAAAACCATTTTATTGTAGGTAGAACATGTAGTTGAAAGATGTTCAGTTCAAATGATATTGATTTTATCATCCACGAAACACTGGAAAACAAAATCTAACATTATAAACAAGGCTCATAATTTCCCTACACAAACAACATATTAAATAATCAACCAGGAATTAGCTAGAAATATTTTTTTATAATTTTCTTTAATATCCTTATCAGTTGTTGATATAAAACCACAGTTTATTTATTCTTGACTAGACAATTTATATCAAGATATTTATGATTAGTTATTTACTTTTGAAGGTTCTCGCAATTTTTTAATTTTCTAGGAAAAACCCACTTGCAACAAAATGTAGAAAATAATCAGTCAATTGGTACAAGCGCCGTAATTGAAGCTCTGCTTACTACGCAATATCCTGAATTTGTTGTAAATGAAGCTGAACATTGGAAAGTATATGCGATTTTATTCGATTTAAAAATAAATTTTCTTGACTTAACTGCCATATTTTTAGCATTATTAGTGCATGACATTATTAAACATTTGGAGGCACATCAATATTGCATAAAATATGTTGGGTAAATGTCTGTTGCAGGCTGGAAAAAAAAACGACAAGATTCAGGAGAGATTTTGTTATACCCTGAATTGGAGAAAAAAATGACTCACACACAAAATCAGTTGCATTGATGCTGTTCAAATAAGTACTAAAAGCACTTATTACAGTAGCAATCTTATTTACTCCAGATCATCAAAGCATCCTTCAAGACAAAGTAATAGAGGATCACAATAAGTGTCATCCAGACCTTCTTAATCAAACTGTTAAACTTATCTGACCGTATATCATGTGACCTTCAGTTCAGATTTTGACGAAATTTATATTTATTAAAAGCATCCAAAGTTCTTTTGACAGCAGAAAGCGCTCTATTTTTATTTATAAGTGCATATTTTTAATTTGTGCCTTTTTTTCATACTGGTCTAACGGCATATCATTTTCCCATACATGACAGAAAAAATTCAACACTGATCCCGTAGTCTGGGATGATTTTAATAAAACTTCATTCAATCCATTGGTTCTGGTAAAACTGATAGATGATTGGTTGATGCATCTAAAGGTATGACCTAATAGTTTTTTTTCGAAAACAATCTATTAGTGATTTGTATACCCATATTTTTAATAGATAGCATTGTATTATAGTTTTGTTAATGATGGTGATGATGAGCCAACTTCAGTTTTCATTACAAACCTGATTAGAACATCGACTATCATTATGTAACAATGAAATTATTACGCAATAAATCTTTTCAAAGCAATATCTGAATCGTCTTAAAAGCATAACCAATTTTCATCCTAGTTGAATAAGACTTATTTACACAATTTAAGTAGCGAGTCTATTTTAGGTAAACAATCGTTCTTGAATAGAATGCAATGAATTTGAATAGTTTTCAACTGATTGGAATTATTTTTAAGTAGATTCACCAAGCTCATGACATAATCTCGTAAGGTCAATGTTGTTTGTGTGACATTTAAATTTCAGTTTTAAAAATCTATTTTGTATGATATTTGGAACTCATCAAGTTATATTATTGTTCTTGCATCAAATTACACTGTAACTATTAATTGACTGATGTTTTGAGATAATCCTTAAGTAGACTTTAAAAATTAATTTTAATTATTAGGTAGCATTCTTTAACTTGGTTTATCAGAAATGTTTTAAGTGGTAAACTTATGTATTTTTTGAGAACTGATACCGATTTCATTAAATGACTTGGATGGAAACGATCTCATTTCCTGACATATTTCTGTCACATTACTCATTATAGAGACCTGATTTATAACATCAGTTCTAGTACATTTTTATTGTTTGCAATTGATGATCAAGGTTAAATGATTCGTTAATTGCTTTGATAGCTAATCATGATGTTTATGAACTACAGTAAAAATTTTATCTATTAACAAAGAAATATAAACTGACTACTAAAAGGGTTAGTTAACCTCACTTTACAAATAGGGAAGCCGATTGGATTTTCGAGATGAAAAAGAAAAGCTGTCGTAAAACGAAAAGTAAAGCTCGAGATAGGAATGGGGGCATCTATTCTACTTTACTAATGAAGACAGAAATCTTCTGGGTCTATTTCATAAATGTATGCAGGTGTTTTCACTACAGCCCACTTATATACGTACCTCAGGTGGTGCAGACGGAATAGGTGGCACCATATTCCAGTATAGTTGTGCTGCTTACTATATTCGGAAGATTTCTAAATCAACCAAAAGCGATGATTAGCATTAATGAGTACTCTCAGTTTTAGACGTGGTAGCTTCTCTCAAGTATACTTTAGGTACATGTGTTAAAGATATATATATGCTAGTAAAATGCACATAGGCGGAGTTGGGCGCGGTCGCTATCATACGTTATATACAAATATAAAATGTTTGAACTAGGTCTAACCATTCTTTAAATGCATATAGACACAGAAGAATCAAGTATATGTTAGATACATTTATAGATTGTATTAACCGGAGTCTATACATTCCTATAAGCACATAGGTATGCATCCATTTAACTCAGGCCCTACCCTAGTAGTATCAGTTGTACTGAATAACTATCAGATAGTCAAATCAACTTAGCAAATAAGTCTTCAGTTAACTATATACTCCTTCATGTTCATACTACAGGAAGAGGCGCGTTGACTCATGTGCACTATTTACGGCACAATTTGTAACCATCCCTCTGACCCGCCTCAGTCAGACCTAATGGATCAAGTCTAGACAATCCCGAAGGAAATTTCTCGAGACACTGCTTCTCTCTTCTCGGTAATACATGATTTAGATAGACTGATGGATCAGCTTGGTCTCCTCATCGTTGAGCTAATTACTAGTGCTGATCACATTTATTGAAACAAGGTTCATAATGGCTATAGTCTGAATGACTCAATATTTAAATGTACTATGTTTTATATTAGCTAACTATAAGGAGATCAGAAACAACACCATAGACGGAAGATTCATGCTGTTTCGCACTAGGGTCGAAATTCTTCGTGGGATTTTAACCCATTTCACTCAGTGTTACAATCAAAAACGTCACCGCTGGTTGCTTTAGGCCACAACCGATATCTCTGAGCATTAAAATATTTGTACTGATAGATCATTTAGTAGTAACTGATGTAGTGTTCAGTTCTTAGTGATAAGTGGATTCTATAAATCAAGTAAAATCTTTCCAAAGTACTTTTTGTTGTGTTTTGGGGGAAAGGACTGTAGTTATTTACCAACAATCAACCATCACAGTACCATATGTCAAATGTGACCAACCGAACAGATTAGTTAGTAAGAATCTAATATCAATTACTAATCTTGAGATGGTGGAGAAAATTTGTAACTCAGGATCATCAGCACAAACCTCAGAGAGAAGTGAAAAATTTGAATTTCTGCACGTTTGACCCATATCTTGTTCTGTTACCCTCTATCGTGAGTAGTTGTTACTGACCTGAGTGTCAATCTCAGGTCAATCAGCAATCAACAAACGCATCGACATTGACCCGATTTATGAACCAGTCAGAAAAATCATAGGCAAACATAGGATCAAGAAACAGACCAAAGGGGGATACAATCAAAATAAAGGTGCAAACACCGATAGGTTTGGGGTCAATAACAATCAATCAAGGTCGAGGTTAACAGAACAAGCTATTTGTCAAACGTTCAGAAATTCGAATTTTTCGCTTCTATCTGAAGTTTGTGCTAAAGTTGTTTAGAAGAACAATGAGGGCTCCACAACCACAAATTACTCACCACTTAACAACCGAATTAAAATTTGTTTCTCAATCCACTAGCGAAATACAAAACTTTGTAAGTAGTAGTTGATAGTAATGAGATGTTAAATTTTATACTGATTTAACTGAAAAAAAAATCACTAAATTTGTTACAAACACATCCGACACATGCTTTTATCTGGGAGTTTTTTTATAAGTGAGATATAGATTAGCTTCATAATCACTTTTAATCCAGAATTCTCCTATTCTAGTCAATAGAGCGGTTGGTGTGTACTAACTATTCTAATCTATCCTACCAAGTACCCATATAAGTATTGAATTTTAAACTACACTATTTTTAAAATGACTGCATGGCAGTTCTCAGGTGTCACAACCGATTTCGATAAAACTATTTTATAATTATTAGCCTGATACTTTAAAATCCAAATACTTTACCAACTAAGACGCAGCACCACAGTTAATTTATGCTCACTGAGATTATTCAAACATTTCCATTTCTATCAGCGTTTACAACATCATTGTTAACACAATAATACAACTTAGATTTGTTATTGAAACATTTTCAGTTATCTATAATGCATAATGATTTTTCCACTAGATTAACTCAAAAAATTTATTTGTTGTTGCCTTTAAAATGATTTTTGTTTTGTTCAATAAAGAACCTTGAATTTATATTGTTAGTAATGTTCTGCATAGATAAGTTTTGTCAGCAACTGTAAAAACTCTTATATCTACACATTTTTCGTTTACAGTCACCAGTGCTTCGAATGCAAGATTTGCACAGTTTACAACAAAATCCTTTATTTCAAGAAGATATTTTAACTTCTTTAGAAATTTTCGAAAAAGTAAGTTACACTGTAATGTGATTTCTATGGATAATTTGTATAGGAATTTGTGTTTCAACAGTTACAGATTCTTATTTGACCAAATACAATAGTTTTAAAATATTGGTAAAAAAATTTACAAAAAAAGTATATACATTTATTATTCATAACTTTGTCATATGAGAAATCTATGTGTTCTAAAAAATCTAAAAATTATGATATAATTCTGTGAGAAAAAATTGTCAAGATTTATACTTCAGTTTTGAGTAATCCATTGTTATATTCTCTGAATACTATAGTTAAATCTTCGTTTTGCCATCAACAAATTATATATGATTTTATCCATAGTGAGTTATTCAATTGTGCAAAAAAAAATTTAAATTACACCGAAGTTTGATTAATGTTTCTTTTAACAGTTTAAAAGGTCCTTTATGTGAATTTGAAGTTGGTAATTTTTCAACATGTTAATCAACTTGACATTAAGTGGTATATATATATATATATATATATATATATATATATATATATATATATCAAGTGAAATCAAATAAACAGCTTATTGGTAAATGTAATCTTGTGATTTTTCAGTAGTATGAACATATTAGTATTAACTACATTATACACTGTTTGCTATTAACCATGAGCTATCCTATCAGAATGTGATGTTTTTATGTTAAGGTAGTCAATTTATAAATTATTTATATAAGATAAGTTGCTTTGTTTTAGACTGAGTACAATTAGAAATGGGGTTTCTTCTTTAGTCTTATTTGGTCTCATTTCCATGTTACCCATCGACTGAGTGACTGAATAATTTATTAACTTTCTATCATCATTTTTAGATTGAACAATTTAAAGCCAATAAAATTATTCTTAGATGTTTATTCAAAATTTATTTATTCAGGCATATAACATTCATGATTTCGACTGTATTCTTCATTTGGAAAACATTGAATAATATCCATTCAAATAAAATTGTCTTATAAGGCCAAGATGGCTAGCAGTGATATCCAGTTCTATTTGAGACTGAATGTACCTGGATCTCAGAGTTGAGGTTCACTTCGAGGCTAAAACCTAGTAACGTTTGCATCAAACACCATCGCATTATCCACTTAGCGACTGATGACCATTCACTTCTACGTCCTGTTTTCGATTGCTAGCCAAATTCCAGATACTCTATATGATTAATATTGTTCTTTTTAAGTTTTACTCTAAGAATATGTTAATATTTTTTACAGATCAACTTAATCTATTCAAAATGAGGTAAGGTAAATTCGTTGGTTAATAAAAGTATGTTTGAGTGTGTATACACATAAAATTGATGGCCTACAAATTATTATACTTAAACGATTAATAGTTTGTAAATCAAATATCAACAAAAAAAATCACAATGAGTTGTTTTATTGTTATTTGTTTGATCATTTAAAGTGTTTTGTTTATTTGTTAAATATCAAATATAAGGTAAGTAATGAATTAAATATTAAATTATTTTTATTCAAGACAAACTTATTTATTTGAAATTTATATTTTAGCCAGTTGTATGTTTAATGAGCTTATTCGCAAAATTAATCACTCATCTTCATCCGTTATCTGAACAAATGGAACATTTACTAATAGAACGTGTTTTAAATTGGTTATGTCAAAAACAATCGAAACCTTTTAACATTATAACAAATACAAATAAATTCAATGAACAATTTCAATGTTATCATCATACAAGATTTGATGATTTAATGCAAATGGCATTTAGAATTATGCATTTTTTAATTAGATTTGTAAAATCAGATTGTACATTAATTGAAAGTGTTGATACATTGTCGAAATTTTTATCTATCAGTCAATAGAAAAAATAACTGTAGTTAAAGAAATATATTTTCAAATTTTAAACTTTATTTGTAACAAACCAGATGAAATTATTATTAGTTTTGCCAATGTTATTCAATGATCGACTAACAAATTTTTATAACAAGATATTATATTACTTTATAGCTGGTCTTTTTTATCCTAATTATATATGTAGACCATAGGATACCAGCTCACTTTGTCTGAAAGTTTGACGTTCAACCGAAAGTTTGAAAGTCCTAAATTCACTTCCTAGTAATCTTGGATGTGGACTATTGAGGAGTCCCATATGTTGTCAAAATGGCTCGCGAATGCTCCTTGTTTTGACTGACTGTCTATCGGAAATCAATTAGCGATGCAGAAATTTCAATATTATCCACAGATCACATTATTTGATGTTTATCTTAAGTAATCATATATCTAGAGTAAAATTGGTTGCATAAATGCTAGTAATGTTCCCACGGAATGATTGTGGCGATATTTAATAAAATATATCAGTTTGTGAAAGCAATTGAAATATGCTGATTCAACTACTAATGTTTCTTGCAAGTTTATAAATATTATGACTATTTTTCTGTTTACCGTATATAAGGAGTTCGAATTCTTATAAATTTGTGTCGTTTTGTAGTAGGGAAATATTTAATGGACTCCCGTACCAACTAGAACCATTTACTTCAAGGCATATAGTTTTGTGAAGATCTCTCCGTGTTCATTCCTTTCTTCCAGTTCATGTCGTCCCATGATGTCTTCATACGCGGTGTCGTCCGTTCGAACCTTGGCGTTTTGCAGTGAATTTCTGGATGATTGTCCGCAGCCTCACATAGAAATGATCTTTATCGTCTTCGTTGATGGGCGCGTAACACTGGGTGAAATTTATTGTGATCCGCTATTGCTTTGTCTTGAAGGATGCTTTGATGATCTGGAATAAATAAGATTGCTATTGTATAAGTACTTTTTATGCTTCGTTGAACAGCATCAGTGCAACGGCTTTCGCGTTTGAGTAATTTTCCTCTTCAAATTCAGGGTACAACAGAATCTCTTCTGAAGCTAGTCTTTCCTGCCCAGCCTATGTGTAATAGGTTTCTTCTATTTCAGTTATCATCAGGTTGTACTTTCTCATTTCCACAACTTGAATAGTTTTTTAAGTGTCCTACGTTTTGCGGAAATTACATATACCTCTATTGTTGGTTGTTCTGGTTGTAGGGAGGATATCGAACTCATGACTTCCGAAGAATCTCGGCTTTCCACTTGAGGCGTCATAACTCTTTTAGATAAACTCTTCTAAACAGCTTTTAAAATGTTTGTTGCCATCAACGCATTTTTAAGCTAGTTTTTTTTCTACGGAATGGCGTTGCCAACCATGTGCTCAAACGTTCCTCCTTTATGTGGAATTGGGACCAGCGAAGCCCTAGAAGAGCTACAGGTGGAGTTAGCTAGTACGAATAATGAAATAAAAACAGGTGTCAAGATGAAAGATTTAGTGCGAAGATCTCTGGGAAAGGTGCTTAAAATTATGCATTAGACAGACCACCAAGGAAATGATCTTCAAAGATTACCTACTTAGGTTAACTTAAGCATCTTTATATCTGATTCGTGCCCGCCTGCTTAGTCACTTTGCTATTTATTTCTCTTTTAATTTAATGCTTGTGTATTTCGTTCTTGATTTGTTCAAACTATTAAATAGGAATTAATTTGTTCGAGCAAACAATGGATATTTTATAAATGATCAATTAAAACAAGCAGAAATCAAGTTCACGATGTAATGATATTAGTTATTAGAGAAAATTGAATATTCCATCCTAACTATAATTTCGTACCTATAATTATACTACTGACATATATACATATACAAATGAGTAGCACTTCTTCATTCGTTTTTTCCCACTTATGCAGTAGATACATTGTTTATTAATCAGGATTATTAGTATTACTCCTTCATTTTATCGATGCGAAAGAAATTCGCACGTGATACAGTAAGTAATTCACTAAATATATACTTATGTACTTATCTTAAAACTATAGATTATATGATGGCAGCTAGTGATATCAACCAATCAAGTACACTGAACTGCCGATCCAATTGTTTAGAAACACCGCCGGATGATGACTTATTAGGTAAACTGTTCAGATAATTAAATCAAAGCAAGAATTTACATTGATTTAAACAGTTTTATTTCCTTTCCAAAAATTAAAAAAAAAGTCAGTTCACTAATGTTATTAATAATATAGAATGATATAAAATTGCGAAAGATTATAAAAAGTGTATTGAAGTAACAACAACGAGAAAAAAAGATACATTTCAAACGAAATGATAAATGAAAGAGATAAGCGATATGTTGTAAATCAATCATAGAAATAATGAATGAATGAATGTTGGCGTAAAACAAAAAAAAAGAAATGATACACTCATATAATAAAAGAAAATACTGAAAATATAATTAATACCAGAAAATTTTCATAATTATGAATATGAGATATATATATCTATTTCTTGTTATTGATAAAATGAAAAATATGTATTTAAAAAAAATGAGAATTATGAATAAAATATGCAATAAAGTAGAATACAAAGGTTATTTCAAAGTTCAATATCATATAAAAAGAAAATAAGCTATATATATCTTTTAAGTATAAGACATGCTCTATCAAATCTAGTTGGCATTGATTATCTCTTCATAAAACATGATGGATTATTTGAAGAAAGAAATAAGAGTTTTCGTAAGCAACAATCAAATAATTAATATGACAAATTAGATTTTTGAAAATCCAAATGTGACTTATCGAAAGAATATAAGCGTCATTATTTGAAAAAAAAATATTCATGATCTAACATACACAAAAAAATAAAATAGAGCAGAAATCTATTTTGAAACATGTAGAAACGCTTTAATTTGATCGTAACAAGCATACGAAACACTAACAGCCGGTAAGACTTTGAGAATATTTGGACCTAATCCTCGAAATAGACCCGGTACACCTTCATGTTCCACAATATTCTTGACAATCTTTAATAATCCAGTCTAGATAAAAAAAATAAATAAGCATTGCATAACAAGTAAGAAACGAAGTAGTACACCATTATTTTGGAGACTAATTAGTCAGTCAGTTACAACATACGACTTCGTACGTACGTACGTCAGTTCAGCTTGCCATACCGCATCAGCACAGAGACACAACTGTCAGTTCAAATCCCATAGTGATGGAGATAGTAGAAGAATTACTGGATATGGAGAATATTAGGGATGGAAGATATTATTCAAGAAGTATAGTTCAGTGAGATAACTTTAGAAAGACAAAGATAGAGATGATGAGGAATTCACTCCCTATCACTAGTTCAGGTGCCGATGCAACCCAATCTTGAAGCAACATTTTACATTTCGAGAGAGAAAACCGCATCCCGAACTTGCTTGCATTAGTCAGAAGACTCTGAATTTTGTCAGCGTCTTCACCGAATAGAACGATGTCATCAGCATATTCTAAGTCAACCAGCATGTCTCCTGGTAGAAGGTCCACTCCTGAAAAGTCAGACGAAAATAATGTTAACTCTAAAAGCGTGTTTATGTAAAAGTAAAACAAGAATGGAGAGAGTGGACAGCCCTGACGGACACCACTTTAAGTAACTAACTCCGATGACAGTTAGCCATAAGCTCTCAATTGACCAGAGGTGTTCGAGTAGAGAGCTTGTATAAGATTAATGTAATTCTTTGGTACAGCTTTCAGTGGCAGACACTACCATAATACCTCCTGATCGACCGAATCAAAAGCCGCCTTTACGTCAAGATATACAACTATTTTGGGACGTCTAAACGTATGACTATGTTCTAGGACCTGCCGAAGTGTGAATATTTGGTCTATACAGCCACGTCCAGATCTGAAACCGGCCTTATTTACTCGGGTTCGCTCTTCACGAGCTCTAGTGAGGCGTCAAAGTATTATCGATGCTAACAATTTAGACAGTACATAAATTAAGATGATTCCTCTGTGATTGCCACAAGAGGACTTTTGTCCTCTTTTGAAAACTAGGACTAACATTAATTGAGACCAGACAGATGAGATTACGCCCAGTTCCTGGATTCTACCTAAGATCTCAGTCAGTCTAACTGCTAAAGCTGGACCATCATCCTTAAAAATCTCTGGGGTAAGCTTGTCAAGCCCTGATGCTCTCCCCCGCTTCAAATTTCCTACAGCTTTTTTACTTCATAAAGACTTGGAGGGCTTAAATCGATTTGCCATTCAGGATGACTGGAGGGCGTGGGTCACAGTAGTGCGGTTGGAGGCCATTTGAATTGATCCCGGAAGTATTCTGCCCATCGAAACAATCTCCTGGATTGAGAATGAATGATACGACCATCCTTTTTGGAGATAGTCTCACTTACATTCGGGTTCCTGGTACTAGTTTCCTTTATAAGGTGGAACAGTTGTCTACTGTTACCTATCGCCGCTGCCTTTTCCATCTCTCTCGCTTTCGCTACCCACCGCTGTTCGTGATCATTGCGCAACCTTTTTACCCACCTGCGGCTAGGGTGACTTTGCTCTTCGCTATGTTTAGAGCCAGGCGGGACGAGTTTACGAGCGTCTATCAGTGCGATGGATGCTACTGTGATCCACGACTTCTTCTTAGTCTTATGATTTACCTTACTGGCAGATGTCACTGCTGTTTCCACAGCCTTTTTGATGTCATCCCAAGCTGCCTCAAGCAGGGCATCACTTACTGAAATATACCATTAGCTATGCTATCATTAAGTAGAACCCTGAGAGGTTTCCTTGCAGTGTCTTTCCTACGTCCAATAAGTCGTAAACAAATACGTCCTCGCACTAGAGCATGATCTGAATCTAGACAAGTGCTCCAGAATGAGCGACAATCCTCTATCGAACCCCTTCACAGGTGGCTGATGTGATATAGTTGGGTCGGCTTAGGAGGTCGCCAGGTCAAGAGACTTTTTTACTTATTCATAAAGTTAGTGTTTGCTAGTAATAGGCCGTCATCTGAGCATAGCCTCAGGAGAAGATCGCCATTATCTGTTGTTTGGGTCGCTACATCATAAGATCCACCCAGTTGTCTTTCAAGGCGCTTAACCCACCCACTTGAGCACAGAATTCACCAGCCACTATTACCACATAAGAGTGCCTAATTTTTGGAGGAGGTCCGAAATTATCCCGTAAAACTCGTCTTTTACCTCGTCAGAGCTGCAGTCAGTGGGACCGTAAGTAGAGAAAAAGAAGAGGCAGACGGTGAGCGTCGCTAATTTTGCGAGTTCTTACTGCCCCGTTTAGTCAGACAGCGCACAAACGACTGTCTACTAGGATCCAGTCTGAGAGCGCTAATTCTGCTCTAGGACTCAATCCTATGCCTACACCAGCGAGGACACGGGAAGCAGCATCAGGGCTTCCAGATGCACGGAACGTAAACCGAATTGGTTCCTCATTTGAACAAGGTGAAGTCAAATTAATCACTGTACTCGGATCATGTATGCGCGAGGCAGCATACATAGATGGCGCAAGATTCTAAAGTCCTAGCTAAGGAAGATTGTTGTCTCATTTGACACAATGTTCGGACATTGAAAGCTCTAATATATAGTTCAGAAGGGGGTTTCAGGAGACCAGGAACAAAGTTTCGGGAACTCGAATCGTTTGCATTAGCGGTGCAGGGTGATAAAGGAACGTGAGTAGAGTTAGTCGTGGAGATAAGAGAGATAGTAGGGAATGTAAAAACGATTTGTCTGTGACCGATTTGGTCTCGCGTGCTGTTACGGGTATTAGGGGAGATGTAACTTCCCGGCTACCCACACCGTGGAAGGGTGTTTCTTGAGGGACCTGAAAAGGAAGGTAGATTAGTGTCGGTCTTAGAGACCTGGGAGCGTGACCGCAGAGCCCAAGGGACAACTGCTTGAGGCCGGTCACGCATGGCCTTTTAATTTAAGGCTTTTTGAGTATTAGCTCCGCTCTTTTAAAGCCCTTAGTAGGCAGCCCTTACCGCTGGAGACGGAAATCCAACTAACTATATAATTACAATAACCAAAAGTACATAAAAATCATAGCAAGGTATAATCGCAACAAAATGAATTCATATTAATATCACTACGTTTTCTAATAGTGCCTTATGAAAAATGAAGGTACAGAATGGCAGAAAATGATTGATTCCATTGGTGCATAGACAGTGCTGTGTTACTGAGCACTTGCAGCTAAAAAGTTGGGAGTGTTGCATGCAAACTACTTTGCTATTTGGTGTTTTAATAATCAAAAGACAATAAATAGATCTAAAGGGTGGCTTTCAGAAACCCATGGCGTAATGTGTAAATTATGTTGCATAATATGAATAATAGGTATTTTTTTATTAGTTAGTTAACATTCGACGCTAAGGCTTACATAACAGAAAATTTACCATTTAGGCCCCTTTATCCAAAAGAGGAACTACTAGACTGTACTTAAAAATATTTTTCGCTTAGACGCAAAAATACGAGAATTGTGATTAAGCAAAATTAATTGATTATTAGTAATAAGTATTAATCATAATTAGTCTAACGAAAGCCAGAGATTAGATGTTTACAAGAAAAGCAAATCAGTAAAGAGAAATAAAGCCTGTAAATTTGAACAGAGATCTCATCTAAAATAAACAACTTGTGTAAGACTTGTAAGAAATGTCTACTTTGTAATCATACCGCTGGTAAAACTATCCATTTAGACAGTTAGAAAAGAAAACATCATACCAAGCTGAACTTAAAGTAAGCAGGATCTACTTAGATTATTGTAAAAATCCCAAAGAAATCATCTACGATACATCATAAGGTACAGTTTCAAATGATAGAAATCATGTCTATAAACAGTGATAAGAAACTAAAATAATAGTAACATAAATTTTGAACAAACCTTTTCGGAAGATGTCTGTGCCTGAAGTTTTGTTCGAACCAATGCCAAAGGATAAGTGCCTAACTGACCACATAATGATGAAAGAGCACCGGCTACAACGGAAACATAAACTGGTGGAGATGCATTTTTAGACTTTTTATCTTCTGATAAAAATGCTTTAGAATATGACTGTTTAAATGTTTCAAACATAGCTAACTCTATTCCAGCATACGGTAGAATACCCAGCATATTAGGCACATAGCCACGATAGAATATACTAATACCATTACTGTGATATAACTTTCGAGCACAGTCAAATATTGACGAGTACTGTCCACTTTTGCGTAAGCACATTTTTGTTTTCAAATACCTAAAAGATAAACAAACAGCAATAATTCTAGTAAGGGGTAAAACCTGTCAGCTAATATTTTTTTAGTATTTTGATGTATGAAGAGCGAAACTGAGTATAAGCCATATTTGTTAAGGCATAGTACGAAAAGTCAAGTTATAGAGTGAAAGATATCAAGACTTTAGCATCATCAGGGTTAAGATATAAAATGTAGGTAAGAGTAGCATAATATTACCAAAGAAAGCTTTATCAAAACTACCAAACAGGTTCTTTATGTTAAGTAGTTTTTGACCTGGATTGTATCACGTACATTCTTATTTAACAGTAAAGTGAATTACCTGAACAGAAATATCAGCTTAATCGATGCAGTTACCAATATTAAGGTGACAAACAAGTACAACTCGATAAGTGTAAAATAAAATAAATACCAATTCACTGAGGTGCATACATTATTACCATAACTCAAACGTTGCCCTATTCCACGTAATATCACAGTATGCTAACATTGCTGGTTTTGTGTTATAGGGTAAACCCACTTCTAATCTAAACAGTGTAGCTCTTGGTGAGAAATATTCTATGCGGACCATGAAAAGTGATTGAAACGTTAAGTAATGTAATGAAAGACGAAAAATGTATGAAAACTGTGAAATAGAATACCCTAATACCACTATAAAAACAGTTAGTAGCAATATTATCTGAATATTGTCAATAAACAATTTTTACTCGCCTAGCGCTTGTAATTAATACCAATTGGAAAGATCAGTAAACTGACTTTGATTACTGTGTATATACCACTAGGTTGTTGGCTTCAATTTATAAGTATTGAGTAGATATGGTTAATAAAGTAGTGCACATGCATATTATCACTATACTTGGTGTGCTTCTCCAACAAGTACGAAGGTTATGTGAAAAACATACTTTTGATAAAAACATACGTAGTTTGAACATCGATTGGACTATTTAGCTTTGTATAGTTTTCAAGATTAAAAACCAGTAACAGAAGTTAGCTATTAGCAGAGATCCAATGAGACAAAAGTCTAAATATAAGGAAACGTCAGTGAAAATTAACCAACTTCTACGTTAGCTTACAACAATTTAACTGACGTAAGTAAGTCTTGAAATGTAATGTCATCTTTTACATAAATTTACGGAACATTCTTGGACAGATTTCTTTAGCAACATATATTAATCACGTGTGTAGTGCGCCCAAGTAAATGTCAACAGATAAGCATATCAACATTACTATCTGAAAACACCCTACTAAAGAAAAGTATCAAATTTCATAGAATAGTTCAATAACCTAACAACCTAATAAGAGCAACACTAAGTGTATATAGTCAATCATTTATAAATGGAGGGCTAAAAATACATACATCCATAGGATATATAATACTTTGGGAAGTTTTGCACCAGCCAATGAACCGGCTTAAGAATTTAGTATGGTAATTGAAGACTTCCATACTGGTTACTACCCAAAGATTCATTAAGCCAACACTTGTAAACTTCATAAGCCTGAAATTTAATTGCTGATTCTGGAGCAATTTTCAAACAGTTAACGCCATTGCCACGCCATAATGCTGTTACTCCACCTTCTTTAACCATTTTATTGACTGTCCCCAATAAACCTACTTCAGAAGCCTTACTTCCGAGTGCTTGCCATGTCAATTTAATGCGATCCAAAGGTGCTGTT